GTTAATCATGAGTCAGCAGTGCCCTGGCAGGCACAAGGGCCAGTCATGTCCTGGGCTGCAACAGGCACAGCATCATTGACTAAAAAAAAAAAAAAAAAAATTAAGCTCTTAGAGATTGTCCAAAGGAGAGCCATGAGGATGGCCCTCCATTGAAGGGAAAGGCATATGAGGAGCAGCTGAGGTCACTTGTTCTTTTCAGCCTGGAGGAGACTTAGGAGAGACCTGACTGCAGTCTACAACATCCTCATGAGGGGGAGAGAAGGAGCAGCCACATTACTCTTATGACCCATTACAGGACTCAAGAAAACAAGGTGAAGTTCAGTCAGGGGAGGTTTGGGCTGGAAATGAGAAAAGGCTTTTCAACCACAGGGTGGTTGAGCACTGAACAGGCTCCCCAGGGAAGTGGTCAAACTTCTTGAAGGAGTTCAAGAAGCATTTGAACAACACTCTTGAGCACATGGTGTGAGTCTTTGGGTTCCCTGCACAGGGCCAGATGATGATCCTTCCAGCTCAGCATATTCTACAATTCTACGACTCCCTAACCATTCATAATTCCAACAACATGCTCTTAAACGCAAAGAAATAAAGAGAGGTTGTGGCTTCACAAGGCACTGGTCAAAAGAAAAGCACTGGAGTTGCTGAAAGAAGCGGCCTAACAATCTACAAGACCTGGCAAAGTCATTCATATTTATTATATGTCCTAATTTGCAAGCAAATGGAAATATAGCAGAAGCCTTCCTTAGCAGCACAGGGTATCTATGACTGAGCTCAACAACAAAAAATAAGCCTATGGAAGGTGGAAGTGAGGACATAATGAGTAGGAGGAGCACAGGAGTATTTCCTGGGCATGCAGGGATGGAATTAGAGGGGCAATGCTTCCATGCAGTTAAAACTGGTGAAGGATGTCATGGGTAAGGACACTTCTGCAGCAAAACAGAAGACTGAGTAAAATCTAGGCCAGCTGCTGAATACAGCAGGTGACTTTGTGACACAGCACACAGGTATTCATTTTATCTATTGGCATGGTCTGCTCTAAGGGATCCCAGAGTTCCATGTTAAGTAGCAAGGATCAAGTCAGGGTCTAATTAAACAAGATAGAAATGTCATACATGTCCATGGGATTGGACAGCATACATCTGAGAGTACTAAGAGTGACAGCAAAAATCATTGGAAGGGTACTCTCAGTCCCTTGTGAAAGGTCACAGTGATCAGAGGAGGTTTCTAACAACTGGAAAAATGTTACATCTGTCTTAGGAAATTGCAAAAGGAGGATCTGGGTGGTGAAAAGATGATCAACCTTCTCACAGTTGCTGGGGCAATTACAGAGCAAGTGCTCACAGAAATCATTACCACAACAACAAAAATGTTATTGAGAACAGCCATCTCGAATTTCCCAAGGACAAACTGTGTTTAGTCACTCATTGTATTCTACAACTACATTACAGGCTTCCCTGGGTGAGATTAGAGCAGGTGTTGCTCCCCTTGCCTGTAGCCAGAACTTTGATAGTTTTTCAGCATCAGCAGCCAGATTGGGAAGATATAGGTATACTATAGGTGCATTAAACTGGCCAGGTCATGGGTCTCAAAAGGTAGCTAATAACTGTTTCAAGTCCAACTAGCAGGTGATTCCAAGGGATATTTCTTGGGATCAATAAAATGGCTGATATTATTTAACTTTTTCATCCATGACCTTTGGAAATAATAAGATGACACCAAATCAAAGGAGGCTGTTGGTATACCAACAGACCTCAGCTAGCTGAATAAATGTATAACACATACATCTGTATTGTACTTTCAAAAATGAGAATGCCAAGATCCCACATCTGGGACAGGATACAGTTAGGGAGAGTGCAGGCTGGAACTAACGGTTCCACAGGAGAAGGCCCAGCAGACCACAAACCAACAAAGTCAGCAGTGTGCGCCTGCAGTAATGAACACTGACCACATCTTGGAGTGCCACAGCCAGCAGGTCAAGGGACATGATTATTGCCCTCTCTTCAGCACAGATGAAGCCACATCTAGAGCACAGTGTCCAGTTTGTTCTCTTGCCAAATGAGAGACCAAAGAGAATAAAGCAAAGAGTCATTAAGGGAGCTAGGAGCTCTGACATGTAAGGAGGCTGAGTGACCTAGAAGTACCAATATTCTTGTAAGTTTAATGGACATTTACTGCCAGAGCATTCTTAACAGCATTCCTTATGGTCACATTATGAGAACAGATGCATTTTGGTAGTCCCATCCAACACTACAACAACTATAAGTATATATTAGAGCCCATTAATGTCACTGGCGCAGTACCTGATGATGTGCCACAGCAAATTTTAAGCTGGGTTCCATACAGACATTAAAAGGTAGCCTGAAGGTAGTACTGTTCTGCAAGCAGAAAATTCCAGGGATCTTCCGTATTCCTGACAAACTCACTTCTGCTCAGGGACTGTTGCACAGAAAAATGAATCCTAAATCAAACTGGCATCCTACTCATGAATGATTTTTCCATTTATAGTTGCAAAGCCACTGTTAAAGTGACCAAAACTAGTTTATAAAATATTTCAACAGCTGTAATTGTTTAGGACCACTGAACTGCATGTTCCAAGCCAGATCAAAAGGAGCACCACAAACCCATGAAAGGCTTATGTGTAAAGAGAGGGTAAATTCCATGTCTGGGATCCATCTGTAATTCTGTCAAACCAAGAGTGCTTGTAGCCGTATACAAATTAAATGTCTGTCTGCCAAAATTAAGTGAATGAAGAACAAATACCCCCGTATCAACTTTTTTTTTTTTTTTTCCTACAGTAACTACCTTGTTTTCTTTAATGTTAAATGTAAAATAACCTCCCTTTCACTCTGGTGTGAAAATACAAATCAGATTGGGAGTTACATCAATGCCAGGATTGATCCCAGAATTTTTAGATTACCATTTTGTTACAAATATAGATGTGGAAAGATATGTCATGGGGTTTTTTTTATAGCTGACACAGCTGAAGATGTAGCTTAAATGCAACAGGATTTTGAGGGAACTGTATTATTTCCTGAAGAGGTTCAAGGCAAATGTATCACTGATTTTCTGTAGTTTGGCCACACACAGAGATGAATTTAAGCAATTCCAAATATAGTTGGAATGACAAGGCCTGATGTTTTTATATTTACAGACTAGTGATCCATGCATGATTTTTCATGCCTGGTCATGTAAAAAAAAGGCAGGACTTAGTAACAACTTGCAGTGTTAATACCCTAAATAATTAGCACTTACACATATTACACATATTAACTTTTATTAACAGCCAAAATGCAGGGTCTAACACAATTTTTTTAAAAAAAGGGGAAAATAAAAGAGCTTTTTTATTGCTTTATCTCATAAATCCATATCATTGGCTTTAAGGAAAAAAATCCATAAACAAGAAACCTCCTGAATTCCTCAGCTACTCAATAAATTCAATGGTTTATTTTGGAGCCTCTGCAAATTGGTCTGTATGAGAAGTAGTAACTTTAATAGCCCAACAGATCTGTCTTCAAAAAATACATTCTGGGACATGAAGGGTTGAAACTGCGCCTGCAAACTTGACCTTTACATCAGCTGGTCTAATCTAATAAAAGATATTACCTCTCCCTAGAAGTCCTTGCTTTGTTTATGGGCACGACAGCCCGAGATTACAGCAGTACTATTACCAGACAATGCCAACTGCTAGGCTCTCCCCGAGAGCCCGGGCAGGGAGGGGCTGCCAGAAACCCCCTCGCGCCGGGGATCCCCGCTGCGCTGCGCTCCGCTCCGCGCGGCTTTCCCGGCCGCGCACCTGCGCCGCGCTGGGCGCCGGCCCGGCGGTGCCGGGCGCGGAGGGACGGCCGCCGGGCTGTCTGCAAGCGGCGGAGGGCTCCCGGCCTGAGCGCCAGCCCTGGCAGCGCATCTGGGCTGGGCTCTAAGCAGCTGCTGGAGCAGCCAGTAAGATGTTGTTGCCCAGCCAGCATCGCACTCATTAATTTCTAAAGCAGTCGCCCACAGCTTTGCTGACGGACACTCGGCAAGATCCCCTGGATGTAGTCGGGCTTCTCCCTCCGCCTGGGCACCGCTAACTGTCTCGGTGTCCCTTCGGAAAAGGCCAGAGCCGCGGGCCTGACACGGCGGAGCCCGGAGCGCGGTGACCGGCGCGGCCTCAGGGCACAGGGACCCCGCGAGCCCGCTGGAACGGGACGCGCCCCCATTCCTGTTGATGCAGCGCCCCCTGCGGGGCGGGCGGCGGCAGCAGCGCCGGGCACTGGAGCAGCTCCGTGCCCTCTCCAGGCGCGGCGCCTCGGCGGGGCGGGAAGCGCTCTGCTCCTCCGAGCTGCGCCGCCAGGACTCCGGCGCCCGCCGTCGCGCCGCACCGGCCCCGCGGGGCTTCCGCACAGGGGAGGTGACTGACAGAGGCAGGCGCGGAGGGCAGGCGCCGGCGTCCCCCCGCTCTGGCACGGGGCCGAACTGCGCCCCGGCGAGGGGGCAGCGCTGGGGGAGTAGGAGAAATCGCTGCTGAGGGCGAGGGAGCGCGCCGCGTGCTCACTGGGGAGCACCGGCTGGCAAAATGAGAGGGCTGCGACCACCATGCCGGGGGTGCTGGAGCGCCAGGCGGGCTCCGCAGAGCCGCGGCCCACCGTGCCCCGGCGCTGCTGGCGCCCCGCCCCCGCGCAGCCCCGGACGCGGCGGCTCGGAGCGACCTTCCCGCAGCCCGGGGCGGGGCGCGCCCGGCGCGCCGCGGCATTCCCGCCCTGCCGCCGCCTGGCCGCGCGCCGCATGCAAATGAGGGCTCTCCTCATTGGGCCGCACCGGGAGCCCTTTGAAAGAGCGCCCGGCGATTGGCCGCGCGGCAGCGTTAACGCACACGGGAGAATCTCCCCCCGCCTTTTTTTTTTTTTTTTTTTTTTTTTTTTTTTTTTTTTTTCCTTTTTTGTGTGGTTGTACAGTGATTTTGCTTGAGCTCATAATGAAGTGCTTTTGATCAGCACTAAAAAAGGTCTACTGGTTGAGTGCGGCCGGCCCGGCCCTCGGCGGCGGGGCGCAGGCTGAGCCCGCCCCGCCGCTCACGGCGCCTCTGTTCTCCGCACTCCGCAGGTCGCCGTGAAGCATGTGGTGAAGGAGCGGGTGACCGAGTGGGGCACCATTGTAAGTACCCGGGGGGGCTCCGGGGGTTCCGCGGGGCTCCGCCGCGGCGAGGCCATTGTGTGGGCGGTGGGGCCCGCCCCGCTGGCGCGGCCTCTGCGTCGGGAGGGAATTTGGCGGGGGTTCGCCGCCGCAGCGCCGCGCCCGCCCCTCGGACTGCGGCAGCGGCAGAGGGGGCCCGCCGGCCGCGCCCTCCTCCCCGCCCTGCACGCCCTCCCCGCTTCCCTCCCTCAGCGAGGGCTGCCCCGGGCCGCGCCACCCCCCGCTTACCCGTGCCCCTTTTTCTGCCCAGAGCGGCATCATGGTGCCCCTGGAGATCGTCCTTCTCAAGAAGGTGGGCTCCGGCTTCAGAGGGGTCATCAAGCTGCTAGACTGGTACGAGCGGCCCGACGGGTACCTGATCATCATGGAGCGGCCCGAGCTGGTGAAGGACCTGTTCGACTTCATCACGGAGAAGGGCGCCCTGGACGAGGAGACGGCCCGCGGGTTCTTCCGGCAGGTGCTGGAGGCGGTGCGCCACTGCTACGGCTGCGGCGTGGTGCACCGGGACATCAAGGACGAGAACCTGCTGGTTGACCTCCGCACAGGCGAGCTGAAGCTCATTGATTTTGGCTCAGGGGCCCTCCTCAAGGATACAGTCTATACCGATTTCGACGGTACGTGCCTCCCACCCTTCCCGTGCCCCTCCCGGGGTGATCCCCTCCCTAGAGTTGCCGCTTAGCCCCTTTCCAGTGACCAGTCAAGCACGCAGAGCCCCTGATGCGGGGGTTCATATCAGGTCTATCGGTAATGGAAACCTGTGGACCCGAAGCCGCTTAGGGGTGTTCAGTTGCGTAGGAAAGAAGCGATTCCAGGCAGTGACGCAGCAGTTTATGTTTCCCTGTCTTGGAAAAAGCGGGGTTTTTTTCCTAGAGGGCGATCTGTTTACATGGAGGTTTTGCCAGTGTCGGATGTTTCCATGTGTGGATATGCAGTTTTTATATGCGGTGGTTTTTTTTAACTCGGAGTGGTACCTCCCCCGCTCTCATTCTGCCAGTGTCCTGGAAATCCCGCATTGCAGATTTTAAAGCGATGGGGACAAATGCACTCCCTCTTAATGACTTGCTACGGCGGCTGGGGTCGATGCTTTAGAGGTGGGAAAGCTGAACATAAGCCAGCATGTGACCAGAGGGAGCATTTCCCCCAGTCCTTGGAGTATGACTGATGTAACGCCGGGGTCTCGCTCCCCCCCGCCCCCAGCTGCCGCACTCACATCTGTTTGTTGTGAAACCCGAAGCCCTGCCACACGTGACCCTCGGCATCACGAATTCCCCGTTTTGTTTGGTATCCAAGGAGCCCTCGGACACGGGAGGGAGGAGAAGGGGGGCGAGTTGGAAAAGCTGCCGCATAGAAGCCCCGGGGGGAGGCCTTAAAAACATAGAAATCGTGAGCGGCCCTATTTTGTTTACTGCCCTGTGGAATTGGATAAAGCAGATTAGCCCCGTGTAATGCGGGCAGACCTGAGTTTCACCTTCTTGTCGCCCTCTCCTCCTCCCTGCCAGCCCCCTTTGTCCTTTTGTGTCTATTTTTGGTGTGATGCTGCAGACGCCACGTGGTCAGTGAAAGGGAGCTTGCCTCAGTAAACAGTCAGCTGATGGGGCTGTGTTATTCCTTGCAACAAAATAGAACAACCGGATGGGCCAAGTCTGTTGATGGTGTAACCCTGCAGATGACCTGAAATTACACTGCTAATGGCTTTGGCTTGTGAAAAATTTAAAGCTGTTTAATTTTCTGGGTTTGGTGGTTTTGGTTTGGGTTTTTTTTCTCTCTTTTTTTTTTTTTTTTTTTTTTTTTTTTTTTTGCCGCTAATGTGTGATGCGTTCCTCTCAGACGATGTGTAACTCTGCGCGCCGGTTACTACAGAAGAAGTAGTTCCCAGACCCCCGCCCTCCCCGTGCTCGCCCGTGCGGTGGGGCGGGACAGGGCGCTGCAGTCACGGCCGCCGCCCCGCGGGGGCTCCGGCGCAGAGGGGAGGGGGCGGCGGGGACGGCGGGGAGAGGTGTTTCCCCCCCCGCCCTCCCCCGCGGAGGGATATTCTCGGCGCTCTCGCCGCACTCTGCCCGCACCAAAATATTGGGAGTTAAGAGGCGGCTCGGCGGCGCCGCCGGCTCAGAAGCGCGCGGGCAGCTCGGCGGCGGCGCGCTCTGTCCTCCGCCCGCCACGGCTCCACTGCGGCGCCCAGCCCGCTCCTGCCACCGCGGCCCCCGCAGGGGCGGGCTCCACGCGCGGAGCCGAATCCCCCGGACTTGTCTGCCTCCGCGGAGGGCTGTAGTTCTGCCTTTGCCTGCCTGCGCCTCGAGCGGCTTTCGCCGGGTGGAAGAAGAAGCGCGGGAGCGGCGCGTTCGCTGATTGCGTTTCTGCGGAGGACTTTGTGCGACCGACACCTGGACTGCTGCCGGCGGGGACGGACTCCCAAGGACTTCGTGTGTTCCCGCTCCCGGCCGAAGAAGGAGCCGCGCAGAAGCTTTCGGCGGCCCGCCGCCCTCCGCCGGCTCCGGAGAGAGGAGAGTCGCGCCGAGCCGAGAGGACGCCGGCGGAGCTGCCGCGGGAACTAACTCGACGTTTCCCCCCCCCTCCTCGGAAGATGTTGCTTTCCAAGTTCGGCTCGCTGGCGCACATCTGCAGCCCCAGCATGGACCACTTGCCGGTGAAGATCCTCCAGCCAGGTACGAGGCTGGGGTGTCCCTGCCAGCGCCGCGCCGGAGGGGCGCGGACCGGCCCTGCGTTACCGGGGCGTTGGGCTCGGCGTCTCGCAACTCCCGGAGCTGCGTTTATTTTTTTAATTTTTTTATCTTACTTCTTAACAGAAAAAGATTTTTTGTTTTTTAATAAAGCCTTGGTCGAAACCAGGGCAGCGCACACAGTATGGGTCTGCCGGGCAGGGCTTTTTTTTTTTTTTTTTTTTTTTTTTTTTTTTTTTTTTTTTTTTCTTAATTCCTAAAATGTCAAGTTTTTGAATTTATTTTAGCACTGCCAGAAGGAGCTGAGCAATGGGGAAACACTTTAAACCTTTACTCTAATTGTGTTGGTTTTTTTTTGTTTTTTTTTTTCCTTTCAGGAACGAGAGTATACAGCCCTCCAGAGTGGATCAGATACCACAGATACCATGGGCGGTCAGCAACAGTATGGTCTCTGGGAGTTCTGTTATATGACATGGTTTGTGGAGACATCCCTTTTGAGCAAGACGAAGAAATCTTGAGGGGGCGATTATACTTCAGGAGAAGAATTTCACCTGGTAAGCTCTGCAGAAGTCAAATGGGTTTTTTGGTTTTGTTTTTTTCTTTTAATGGTCTTGTACATGTGAGCTTGTGTGGGTGGGTTTTTGTTACTGAGGACTGTCTTTTTTTTTTTTTACATTATTTATTACTATTATCGTTATTACTGTTACTATTATTATTATTCGGGTGCAGCGCGGTTGCGGACATTAACGCGGGGTTTTCCCTCTTGTTTACGCAGTGAAAGTGGAGAAGGAGCCGTTTGATAAAGTCTACCAGGTGGGCTCCGTGCTGGGCAGCGGGGGCTTCGGCACCGTGTACGCAGGGAACAGGATCGCCGACGGGCTGCCGGTGAGGCGTTTTTTTTTTTTACTTTTTTAGTCTAATATGGGCTTTCTTTTTTGTTACAGAATGTCAACAGCTGATCAAATGGTGCCTTTCACTGAGGCCTTCAGACAGACCAACACTTGAGCAGATTTTTGACCATCAATGGATGCACAAATCTGAAGTAGTGAAGTCTGAGGACTGTGACATAAGGCTACGGACCCTTGATACTGATGTATCTAGCACAAGTTCAAGTAATGAGAGTCTGTGAATTACTAAGGACCTCGCAATGGGAGGGGGAGCTTCAAGCAGAAAGACCACAGTGCTGCTGCCAATACATAGGAGGGGCTAGAAAAATGCATTCATTATTCTGTAGTTGAATCTTTGTCTGAGGGACTTGATTTTGTTTTCCCCCTTTGCTGGTTTCTGCTTTGGAATGAGAGATTTCCTTTGGAAACGCTGATGTTTGGGAGTTGCAGGCCAGTACTTAGTCAAAGACTGACCTTATTAAGAAAGCAGTGACCTCTTGAATACATGGTAAACTTTTTTGCTCTCATAGAGCCTGGACTAGATTTTATTTGCTTTTGAGTGCCTTTTTGAAAGCTGCTTCAGTGGGACTTTCTTTTTTGAGCTGTCTATGTCCAAAGAAGATCCAGTTCATTATAGGAATTTGCTCCCTTTAGACTCAGTGCTGGAGGAAGCAGCTCCTATGATGCATTGGAGAACCTGTTCGGTGATTGAATGAAGTAGTCCCATCCACTGGTGATGGAATACTTGAACACAGACATTTCACTCCTGCCCCCCTGCCCTTTACAAATCCAACCCACCTCTGCTGCTCAAAATATTTCCTATAGCCTGCACAGAAATATGAACAGGTATATCGGCTTCTTTATCAGAAACATTTATTCATGTTTCCTTTTATCATCTCTACCATTGGGCATGAGAAGCCCCTTTCTCAACTCCCCCAGCCTTTTGTCACCCTGCGAGTCTTAAAGTATGTATGGGCATGTTGAATGCACAATCAATGCAATATTCAAGGACTTCTACTTTTTTTTTTCCATACCTGTATAATGTGTTTATGTAAACTTGGTTTTTCCCGTGTACTATACAGTTATTTATTGTTTGGATTTTAGAAGACCTCCCACAGTTTTCAACTGTGGCTATTTATTTGGTTAATTTATTTGGTTAGAGTTACTCAACACTGTGCTTTCCCCTCCTTCTCCCCATGGGAATTCTAGTGGTTTGCCCATGGCACTTTTTTTTTCTGCATTCCTGTCAACTTTTGGTTACAAAAAAATAAAAATAAAAAAAATTTCTGACCTTACCAGTTTTTTGTTGGAAGATGGGAAATTGTTGTACAAAGTCTAATTTAAGGGAAATAGAATGACTTTTTAAAGTTAGTCAGTATGCCTTTTGTCTGGTATTATTGTACCAGAAGTGTAAAGTAATGCTGTTTGGAAGGGTTTTAAATTATTGACATTGTACAGTCTCCGTGCATTGGCTCTGGAAGGTAGAGTGGCAGAGTCATAAACCTTAATTTATTTTAATAGCTGTGTTTCTGTGATCTGGTTGCATTTATGCAGCTTGGATTTGGATTTTTTTCTTCTGTTTAACGGTGTGAAATGTATGGAGATCATATTTTTTATACAGGTATTTCAATTAAACTTTTTGTATATAACAGTTCTGTGTCTGTGTACTTACTTTTACCTTCGTTGTTACTTGTGGTGAGCTGTTACCATCTCAAACCTTGTTAAAGGCCTGCAGCAGCTGAACCAGAGTTAGGAGAAGGTCTCTGCCATTAAGCAGTGACCATTTTGAAAGAATTAAGCAATTCCTCACCTGAGCTCTACTCCTCAATCACTGCGTTTGATGTTGGACTGGGGAAGGAGTACAATACAACAGCACTAATGGCCTACATAAAAGGGAATTGGCCCTGTAATTGTGGGACTTTTACCTCTGTAAACACTGAATATCAGTGTACTTGTCCTTAAGTATAACAAGGAAGGAGCTCTGTAGCTGCTGGTGGTTACTGTTTTCACAGTTGGTATGTTTACTTTCCATTACATTCAGTTTCCTTCTTCCCACTTACACCTTCCTTCTGGGCCTGGGTGAGGACTTCTGTGCCCTTATGGGAAAGGGACAGCATTCTTGGGGATCAGGGTGACTGTTTTCCTTCAACTCCCTTAGGTTATCAGAGCCTGGTGTGTCTGTCCCTTGATAAGAGTACAATACTCGGGAGCATGTGCCATTCTCACCTACAGCAAAGGACAAGAGAAATTCAGCATTTATTTAGTATTGTCCTCGGCATTTATCTTCACACGCTGGGAGTCAAGCCCTGCAGATTAAGGATTTCATTCTCGTTTCTCTGTAGCCAGAGACTTACCTGACTTGGTCTTGTTGCGGGGGTGGCAGTGATTACCAGGTTTAGCTGCTGCAGAGGGATCTGCGAGGTATATTTAAGGATGTTGTTCAGTCATTAAAGGTGCTTTGTAGTTGTCACAGCAAAGGGCTAGGCTTGGAATCTTAGTTTTGTGTTACTTCCCTTTCTGGGGATCTTTCTGCCAGCTCATCTGCTATTATTTTGGTTCCCTGTGGGTAATATCTCACTGGCATCACATCAAGCTCCTGATGCTAACTAGTTTAGACTCAAAATGCCAATAAATAGCAGGAGGTAAATGTGAAGAAAAAAGGCCATTTTTAGTCTGTGCCCTTTTCTGATGACAGGGAGGGAAGGTGTGTAGCCTTTTCTTGGCTGTAAAAAGGAAGCTCAAATTAGTTAGGGAAAAAAAGCCCTAGCCACACTTCTGTCCATCAATTTATTTTCTGTTTTCTGATTTTGTTCCTTTTTTTGTTTTAGACTTGTTTTTAATGAAAATCTGTATATATGCTGAACCTAGTCCCTGAAAAACTCAATTCCCTACTGTTGGAACTCTATTCACAGAAATAAAAGATTCTGCAGTTAAGATTGCTTAGAAAAATCACCGTGTCATATGAGAAGAACACTTAAAAGTGAATATTTAGAGTTTTGCTTTGGAATGAGAAATTCCTTTTGCTTAAGAAGGGAGGATTCAGATATGATACAGGAGAGATGATCCCAGCACCTAGTGCACTTCTTTAGGGAAACATGTTTCTAACCACAAGAGGTCCCTGGAGAAATTCCAGTAGCTGACAGTAATTAACATCTTCCACTCCAGTGACTTCACATGTTCACAGCTGTTCAGAGGGATGGCAGCAGGGCTGTATGGGTGAGCTTCAAAGGGCTACCAGAAAAGTGATTCTAAAATCACATTTGTAAAGCTATTGTTGATTACTGAGCCAGGGACTTTCAACATTTCCACAAGAGCTGATGTTACTTTCCTTAGCTTCACTGAGAATCAGAGTTGAAACGCTCTGTTTCGAAACATAAAAACTAGGTTTTCACCTTTTGCTACTGAGGCAAAATGCATTAAAAGGATAAAGGTCAAAAGGACACAGGCACGAGTGCTGACTCCCCTCTGGGATTAGCTCAACATAAAAGGTGCACTTTCAGTGCTGCACAGGCAGCTTTGGTTGTGAAACTCCCCTGTACACTAATAGAAGCCATGTGGCTGAAACAACGTATACTGAAAGTAATGATTTGTAAAAATAGCTTTTCATTACAGTTGAAAGTTGGAAAATGATGTGTTAATACAGTTCCATTAGCTGAGTGTTTCTGCCAAAATGAGCAAGTCAGTGACAGCTCTTGGTTTCTCCTGTGCTTCTACCTGGTATGAATACCATTAAATGTTATTTCTCTGGGATCCTCCTCTTCATACTCTCTCCCCACTAGGTTGGTGTTCAACAGCACAAAGCCTGAAAAATAAAATTCAGCAGATCATTCAAAACATTATCATTTAAATCAGGGCCTGTTTAACCTTGAAAAATTGTTTTAACAATACTCATACCTATGCATGTATGTATGCTACTGGCTTCATAATAGATATTTAAAATAAATTCTAAATGAAATATCTTTAACAATGTAGTGTTCTGTGTAATTAATATCCTGAATAAAGCCCATTTCCCTGAGTGCATAAGCTTACACTCTCTTCTTTCTTTTTCCTCTCTTTTTGTTAACTGAGCTTATATTTACTGAAGCATCTGAATAAGAGCCCTTTGAAAATAACTATCAAAAGATGTTAGGAAGATTGACTAGGGTGTGTTCCCATCAAACACTTATGGTTCTCAGTGGTTTAGTGACCTCTGTTGGTGAAATTAAAGTACATGTTCCAAAAATAATGATGCATAAACTGGGGCGATTTTAAAGCACTGCTGGCTGATTTTTTTAGGTATGAGTGAATATGGCTCATACTTCATTATCCCATAGTGCTTGAAGGGATATTTCGCTAAAAATGAAAAAGTTTAAATTACTACAAATGCAAAACTAACTTCTAAATAAAAATGGGAGAGGGGAGTATGTATTCAAAAGGTTGTAAAATCTGCATCTGATGTTGAAGTGCTAACCTGCTTGGTGTGCCCCAGTCACCTACACTACTCTTGGCATGAGCGTTTACAATCGTATTAGCCCTCGTTCTTCCACTTCATTTCAGCAACCATGAGAGTCACTTGTCTTCTGGCATGCAAATGGGCAATAATTCTCAGTGGTGTAACTAGACAGAATGTTGTGGCCCTATCAGCCTCCTATTAATGGAATTTTTTCTACTAACAGCAGTGATGCCACAATTCGTAGCAGAAGTCAAGATGGCAGCGTTTTAGTTTCATTGCAATACAGTTTTTGATATTGTCCCAAAAGTTTCTCTGCTTGTAAATTTGCAATTACTTAGTTTCATGGTTATCTGTGATTTAAAAATTTAATATGTTTTTGCCTACAGCATTTTTTCAGGTAGCTGATTTACCAGAGACGTATTAAGCTTTGGTTATATTGCAGAATTGCTGAACAAAGTGATGAGGAGGCCAAAAATCCATGTAACTAAAAATTAATTTTAATCTGTATAAGAGAGGATTCCTAATTCTTTTCAGAGAAAGTTTGTCTCATAACTGGTGAATTCATGTTATGACTAAAAAATGCGTCCACATAGACATATTAGCTCTTTTTTTGATGAAGAGAAGTGACTAGAGAACTTCAGTGCTGTGGTGTAACTCAAGGCAAAATGAGGAGCAGAAGCATATATCTATTAAATTCTTGCAGATATTTTCTTAGCTTGCAATTCCACCCCTTTTTTTCCAATAATTTAAAAGGTATTCAATCTTTCTGTCCTTTACTGCTCGTAATTATTATTTGTAATACAGCCTGGCACACTCAGTTTTAAGAAACATTAAGTGGTTTGCAATACTCTGATAAAATCAGCATTTTTATATCTCAGATGCTAGGATTTCCTTTTCCTTAAAATGCTATGAAGGGAATTATTTGCCTGCGGAAACATTCTGCTTACATAATAATATAAATTCAATATAGGTCTCAGATTAGCTGTGTTTAAGCTCTAATTAATATGGTCTTAGTAAGAACGTTATCTATCATGGCTAATACTCTGCTAATTGACTACACAAACCATTATGTAAAAAGCTGCTTATACTAGTCCACTAAGAGAATTAGTGAGATGCATACTTTGACTTGCACTGTTTCTCAGGTAAATCTGTGTTAAACATCAAAATTAGAGTTAAGTCATAGTCAGAAAAGTGACTTGCAGATCAATATGATTCTTTGTTTACTATTATTGACTCAGCAGTCACTTTAAGTCTCCAATTAGGAGTACAGAAAGATTACAGAAAATTATACTGAAAACGGAAGTATTTTGGTATTTTGCTCTATTATGTACAGAATCCTGAAGCAAATGTTTTATTATTTTATGAATAATTGTCTGTGTATTAGCTAGGTGGATTTTTTTTCCTGTAGGTTAGTGCTACTAAAAATGCTATTCTGTAGAAATAAAAAAAGTTTTGCTTGAGAAACTTACTCTGGTGATTATGAATGGCCTGGTTTCAGGGTTGAAGTTTCTCACTCCCCTTTTCTGCTTCCTTTCTTTTAGGACAGGAAAATATAAGCATCAAATATCAGTCTATTTGAATTAAAATATATTATAAAATATATTATAGCATATGCTTGTAAAAATATGTTAACAAGCATATGTTATAAAAGATTGGAGTGATGATTCCCCATAATGTATTTATTTTCCAGAAGTTTCCAAGCCTAATAGAGTCATGAAAGGGAAAAGTCTCTTTCAAGATCATACTAAGGAAAGATGTCCATTACCTGTGGGGAAATACTCCCGTGCTCAGACTCATGCAAAGATTTTGGGGTGGAGAGAGGGGAGGGGAAGAGGAGAGTAGTTTGTTTGGTTTTTTGTTTATAATGTCTAAGTAATATCAAAATCCTTAAAATATCAAGATTTAGCATAGAAAAATGTAAGAGTTCACTGCTTTGCAGAGGGAAATTTGTCTATTGTCCGAGCAGATATAAATGGATAAAAGACTTAATCCACAGGAAGGCAAATTAAATTGTGGTAAGGAAGAGTTTTATATCTGTAAGGCTAGCTGAACACCAGAGTAAACAGACTGTGTAGTATAGTAAATCAATGTATTTAGAAAAAAACATTTTTCATAAATCATCTAGAAAATACAGGTATTTTAAAATTACTTTGAATTTCTTCAGCTGAATGATCTTGAATTACAAAGACAGATTTGAAAGTCACAACATTCATCTGCTT